AGTCGCCAGAGAAAGAAGGAAGAAGAGGCATAGCGGCTCTAGAGATTGGAGGAAGCGGTGCGTGAAGCACAGAGCGGAAAAAAAAACCGAAGCGAGAATGCAGGAGGAAATCGGAAGGCAAGTGCAAATAGCAAAGTGAGTGCAAGTAAGGCATCATCAGCCGAAATCAACATTAGCCAATCTGTTCGGGTAAAAAGCAACAAGCGCTTCCACGGAGATACCAAATCAAGGGGACATAGGATCGCGCTTCCCTCGTGGATGACGCCATCGAACCTTGTACAACGTGTGAGCTACACATTCCGAAGGAGAATTCTACAATCAAGGTGGCTATCGGTCTTGTTAATCCTATCGACCAACCAAGACACCAAGGATTCATGGGAATATAATCCAAGAAGGATATGCTACCATCTCGGTAGATAAAGTCGAAAAAGGTTTTAGTGATTTGCCTCTTGACATTCCCGGAGGTGATGGCGAAGACTCTAGGAGAAGCGGAGAAGACATTCATTCTATGGCGCAAGCGCTACATCATCATTCCAGGGATGTCGGCTCCACCTCCTCCTGAACTACCTCACCATAGGTACGTCGCGGATGAAAACACTACATCATTAATTTGTATTGGCTTAAATAATTAACAATCACTCATAATAATATGTCATTCCTTTTTTTGTAGCAGATCCTCCCCAACCTAAATCCAATTGTTCAATCGCCAGATCATTATAGTGCTCTTTCTGTCGATGACATTATGTTGGAAGACGAGGCTGCATCTACACCATCTCCAAGGAGGTCTCCAACGCCATGACCCGCCACCTCCAAGGAGGTCTCCAACGCCACGCCAACACCTCCAAGGAGGTCTCCAACGCCTCCCCCCCCCGCCTACCAAGAAGCCTAGCAAGAGGCTAGCCCTCAAACGAAGAACCGGTCCCCGCCTACAAAGAAAGCCACCGTAAAACCAAGGGCTATTCCCAAAATAATATCTCAAGAGAAGGAAGAAGGAACTGATGCATATAAAAAGACATGTCTAAATTCTATGACAAACTTAAAATGAATCAAGAAGCAAGGAGAAACCCGAGAAACCATACTTCTTCGTAGCTCCGGATATTCTAAGAAAAGGTGACTTCTTACCAAAGAACAACAACGGGAATCTCGTAAGTCATCCAAATCAACGTTATCGGACTATGACCGCACTCTCACCAAGTCAATTGAGGCGGCATGTAAAAAGAAGCGGGCGGGAAAGGCATTGCCCAACTCGGACAACAAGCGCACCAATCAATCCCCCGCTAGTTGTTGGTAATGAATATGGTTCAATTTAGGATTAATGCATCATGCAAACATACCTCCGGATGTCGATTTGGATCACCTTGGTGAATTTCTTGATGAGACTGGTCTCGACCTTTACCAGATGTTTGGTGATGGAAACATTGAGAGTGCGGGCGGAGGTTGATATTTGGAAGAAAAAATTTGTACTAGGCCGAGTCTATACAACCCTCAAGCCTTATCTCGATCCGGGGACGCAAAATGTACCCTTAAAACAGTGGTACATGCAAAGGCGTCTACCAATGGAGACTTCTGCATTGGTGTCGTAATTAGAGACGAACATTGGTTCCGTATGGCGATGATGTTATGTATGTTGACTTTGCAGAATTTCATCAACTATGCCACCTGACCTCTCTGGACAAAGTTATCATTAGCTGCTATTGCCTGTAAGTAATAATTCTTTCGATCTATTATTAAACTCATCATATGTGTGTATATGCATATAAATTATCCTAACAAATACTATATATATGCAGATTTACAATGACAGAGCTCAGAAAGGAAGGCTGCAATGAAATTGGTTTTGTTGATCCCCATATAGTATTCAAAGACCCAATTACTCCAAAGACTAATTGGAAGTCTGAGTCAGAGAGTAACCTCATGAACTTCTTAGTGAACCAACGCCACAAGAAGGATATACTCTTTCCCTATAACTTCAAGTGAGTGTTAATCATGTCGATCATATCCTTAATGGCTCATATGTTGATTCTAGTTAATTAATGAGTGTTATGCGTTATATCCTATAAACACATGCAAAGAATCAATCGGATATTGATGGACATCAATCTGGTGAAAAGTCACTTGATAATCTATGACTTGATGAGAAAACCACAACAAGACTACCAAGATATGATAGATATTATCCAGAGGTAATTTCGGGATCTCTAGCAACTATATATACACACAAACATGATGATTAACTATATCTGGATGACGTGGCAAATTTTTTATTGGGCGGTGTTTGGAAAACCTTTATTGAGAAGCAACACATGGAAAAATGCAAAGCGCCACGAATGTAATCCCTTTGAAAGTAAGTCCCCTGAATCGCATCATCTTTATTAATTAAACATATAGCTTTCACCGGATCACCAGATTGGATGACAAATCTTTTTCTCGTAAAGTGGTGTCTAAGGCGAGAAGGGGAACAACTACATGGTTACTATGTTTGCAAGTTTATCAAGGTGCTCTCCCAAAGAACTCCTACAGAGAGACTCAAAGCACGTTAAAAATACACTATATATTCATTTAATTATTATTATTGATTGTGTTACTATGTCTTATATATATATATATATATATATATGTACATATATTAATTTATTTTCCTTTAATTCAAACCTCAGAGACTCGATGGTTGGAGGAAAAGGTCATACGGCAAGACCAAATCAAAGCAATTCAAGAGTCTATAGCCGGATTTTTTAATGAGCAGGTCATCGATTCCAAGGGCGAGTTCTACTTCGACCCAACACTGCCATTGAAGCCAAGCTAGAGGATGAGAGGAAACTTGTTATGTCACAACAACTGTAATGCAATCTTTTGTAATATATGCACATGAAATAATATAATGTAAAATACACATATGCATGCATGCATTTAATATATATATGATGCATGCATTCATATATATATATATATATATATATATATTTCTATGCTTGAATTGTGTGATTTAATACGTTCATTGTGCTTGAACCGAAACATACTATATGCTCGTATAAATGTATAATTAGCAGCGTACAATACGACTTCGAAAACCTATTTTGAAAAGAAAACAAAAAAATGAAAAGAAAAGAAAAAAAAAACCTTTAGTCCTCAGTTAGATACCAACCGGGACTAAAGGTGCCGCCATCGTGGCATGTCGAGGCACCTTTAGTCCCGGTTGGTGTTATCCATGGGACTAAAGGTCCTCCTTTAGTCCCGGTTCCTGACCCGGGACTAAAGGACCCCCCCTTTAGTCCCAGATGCTTGCTCCCGGGTGGGGAACCGGGACTAGAGGGGGTTCCCCACCGGGAGTAAAGCTCAGTTCCCTACCAGTGAAGCTCATCCCACCGCCAGAGATATTGATGATCCCGGAGCTACCGCCCCGAGCCTCCCAACATGCTCGCCTACCTGACTTGGACCTACCGCCCCGAGCTCATCCCACCGGGCGGTGAGGTTGATGATCCCGAGAGCCGGGGACACCGGCGCCACCGTCCGAGCTGCCCAACTTGCTCTTCTCCCCGTCGAAATTCAAGTCCGTGTGATGGGCAAAGCAAGCGTGAGCCGCCTGCAATTATCACCACGGCGTTGATTTATCCTTAGTTAGCCTTATGCTCCCCGGTGCTCGAGCCAGTGGCGGAGGCAGGATTATCTTCTTCCTCCTTCATCTCCACCTCTTCTTTTAGTTCTTTTAGGGGGGCTGTGCCGCCCCTCCCCCTCCCACCACGTCCGCTCCACTCTGAGCCTATTTACTTCCTTTGTTACATTTGTGGTTTGTTTAGACTTTTGAGATTAATGCTGGTTGTACAACTCAATCTAGTACGCATCACATTCATTTGTATTTTGGTTATGTTTTCTATTCCATTACTAGGTTGTTTTCTCATGCTTTTTTTTCTTAAGTACCACTACTAGGGAATCCATGTTTAGTAGCGGTTGGGAACTCCCTTTAGTACTGGTTTCACAACCGGTACTGTTAGTTCGGTACTAAGGGGGGAGGGGGGCTTTGGTACCAGTTGAGATAACCAGTACTAAAGGGTATTAAAAAATTAAAAAAACAAAAATATCTGCCCGGCCCGGCCCCCACCCCCCGCCGCCCCACCGCCGGCCCCCTCCGCCGCGCCGCCGCCCCACCTCTGCCTCGGCTCCGCCACCCTCCGCCCCGCCCTGCCTCCGCCTCGGCCCCGCCACCCCGCCCCGTCGTCACTGCCCTCCGCCCTGCATCCGCCTCTGCCCCGTCGCCCTTCGCCCGCCATCGCCGCCCCGCCCCGCCGCCACCTCACCTCGCCCTGCTGCTGCTCCTCACTGCCGGTGAGGGCGAGCAGAGGGGGGAGGGGAGGGGAGGCAGAGGAGAGGAAGTGTGAGGGAAGAGAGGAAGAGGAAGAGGAAGAGACGGGAGAGAGAGAGAGAGAGAGAGAGAGAGAGAGAGAGAAAGAGAGAGAGAGAGATGTGAGGAGGAGAGGAAGAGATGGGAGGATAGAGGAGGGGGCCGGGTGAGACGGGAGGATAAGGTGGCGGGGGAGTTTTAGTACCGGGTAGAGGGGTCACAGGGGGCTCCCCGTGGACTATCCGATAGGGCCGGTACTCATGCTCACATTAGTACCGGGCCAAAATGCAACCAGTATTGAGTCTCAGGATGAAAGGTCCATTCCCTAGTAGCGTACTATGAGGTGGTTATGTAATTGTGCTAACATTCTTTGTTTTTTCTTTCTTTTGTGTACGTGCGTGCGTGATGCATCTCGCTGGAAGGTACGAAGAGTATCACCGATATACTACATTAGCTCCCTTTTTTCCGTAAAGAAGAAATTAAAACTATGTACAAATCTGCGGCATGCATGTATCGTAGGAATGGAAGCGCGAAAAAAAGAAACTGCGAATTTTTCATGGCAACTAAACTCAGATTATATAAGAAGGAAATCACAGTAATTTATTTTTGCCTGGAATGAACTAGATGGACTTGCATCAGTAAATTTCGACCATGGTGGACATGCTCACTTGCTCAGGACTCCTGGCTTGTTGGCCACCACCAAGGGCTCGACCCCGGTCAGCCCTACGAGGAGGAAGCAAGTGTCGTCGTGACCCATGTAGCAGTTGAAGAAACGTGGCTCGTCGTCCATGGAGTCGGTGAGGAACGACTTGTGCAAGTGATGCCACCCATCATCGTCCATGAAGTCGGTGCTTGTTGGCAGGAACGACTCGTACCAGCGACGCCACGCACCGTCGTCCATGGCGTCGGCGTTGGGGGGCTTCCGGAGGGACACGACATAGGTTTCGTATTTGCTGCCGTAGCCTGCTGGTACTTTGATGCCGTCTTTGTTGATGCGGTAGCACCTGCGGCGGCGGCGCACGGATGATGCAACAGAGACACCAGAGAGGACGAGGAGGAGGAGAGCCGCCAGCGATACAGCACCCTTCTTCTTCTTCTTCTTCTTCACCACCACCACACGTCCACGATGTTTCCTGCTCCCTCGTCCTCCCCTCTCCTCTGCTCTGCACCACACGATGTTTCAGCTACCACTGCCAGGTTGGGATGTGTCAGGCGTTACCACACGACCGGTTGGTTGCTTCAACCCAAATCCGCACTTGGGCTGGGTCTGGTGCCGATTGCCGTGCAAACACGTGCAAGATTGATTTCCTTCCTACGGTCAGGCTAAAAGGTCGCAGAGCAGCATCCTCTAGTACACCACCTATCCGGTTGAACGCTATGGTAAGGTCTCGCGTAATCTTCAGAGATAAACGTTACTCTCTCTGTTTTAAGTTTGTTTTAATTTTCCCCCTGGCCCCGTTTAGACTTTTGGAATTGAATTTTATTCTAATATCATAATTTAGACATAAATTAATTAAGCTAATATAGTTGTATGTGAAATATATTTGTATATTATTGTTGGCCATATGAGAGAGTTACTTATGTGCTGCACTTCTGCTATAGAGAAGCGAGTCGAAGAGCAGGCTAGAAAGATAGCATGAGTATCTATAGAATCAATTTTCATCTTCCACCTCCATAAATTTAAGATAGGCTTATATCTAAACTTTGGAAAGTTGTGGAATGCCACGTTCCAAGATAAATAGCATACTCTATTAAGTAGATTTTAATTCCTTTAAAATGAGAGATCCAAACGGGGTCTAAGTAAAATTTATCCAACTTTAATAAAAAATTTTAACTTAATATATTGTATGATGAAGAAAGTAACAACAAATAGAGGAGCGATCAAGAAGCAGATTGTAACGTTCAGTTCAGATGTTAGCAGGTCGTCTTATAATCAGTTAAACACGTGGTCACTGAAGACGAAGACTTGAAAACCTCAATGATGCAACATGTGATTACAAACCCACAAGGATTCATAGCGACGACAGCATTTGTACAGTACACGAGCAACAGTGCAGGACGATGAAGCGAGCACTTCTCCGGGAAAACAGGGGAGATGAATGAAGGAAAGCTTAAGCCTAATAGCACACGGTGTCGTCGAAGCTCCAGAGCCCCACGCCCTCGTTGCCCAGCGACAGCGACGTGTCGCCGCCGAACAGGCCGTCCAGAGACTCGTACGCGCCGCCGTTGAAGAAGCTGAACTGGTCGCCGAACATGAAAGCGTCCAACAGCATGTCGGCGGATTCCTCGGACGCCGCCGGTGGAGGCGCCATTTCCTCCTCCTCGGGTTCCTGGGGTTCGGTCCCGGCCCGTTTGCTGGGTCCGCCGAGCTCGACGTGGAAGCCAGCAGCAGGCCACGTCGCGCCGTCGTCGGTCGCGGACATGCCCTGCCACGAGAAGTCCGGCAGGGTGCTGCAGCCGCTGGCGTCGGAGACACTGTCGCTGGTCTCCGCCTCGCTCTTGACCGACGGCGCGTGCGCCGCGTCAGGAACATCGTCTCCGTCGACGAGGTTGACGTACGGCGCCGCCTTGGCGGCGCGGCGCTCGCTGGTGCGCGCCGTGGCGGAGGACGGCGTCGGGAAGTTGAGCTTGGCGCCGGCGCCGCGGAGGTCGCGCGCCGCGTCGTCATAGGCGCGCGCGGCGGCCTCGGCGGTGGCGAAGGTGCCGAGCCAGACGCGGACGCCCTTGACGGGGTCGCGGACCTCGGCCGCCCACTTGCCCCACGGACGGCGCCGGACGCCGTGGTACTGGCTCGGCCGCCTGCTGCGCCGGGCCCCGGCAGCGGCGCCGAACGCGAACGCCTTGCGCTCCGTCACCAGCACGACCTCTTCGTCGGAGTCCTCGTCGAACTCCCGGAAGGCGGCCTCGAAGTCGTCGTCCTTGGCCGCCGCGGCGGGGACCCGCTTCCGGCCCTTGCCGCCGGCCGTCGCGCTCGGTATGAGCTCGGCAAGGATCACACCACCACACATATTGCTAGCTTAGCTTATTAGATGCCTAGCGTGCTCTGTCGGAATGAAGAAGGCCGTGAGCGGTGAAGCAGCTGTGGATCGGTGTAGTGCTGTGATGGTGTTGGTTGCCGGCGGTGGCGACTATTTATATATGGAGGTCGTGAGCCGCTTGGAAGGGGCGAGGGGTCAAGAGCAATTGGGCAAAGGCGTGAGAAGGAAAGAAAAGCGTTGCGCGACCGCGTCATCGCGACGGCGAGGCCTCGTCCCGAACGAAGAGGGAAACGATGGAAAGAAAAGGGACATCCAAGTCAGCACGTACGAAACGACGAGTACGATTAGGCCGTCCACAATGTGGTAGTGAGGCCAGGAAAAATGTGGATCCAGCTACAGCAAATTAAGCATCAGGCAAGAAGAGTTGTAGTGTGTAAAAAAAATAGAACCAGTATCACTTCGTACATGAAACCCACAACTTCAATAAAATATTCATCATCTTCCCCCACGATCCGTTTCAGTCGCGCTCTGGAAAAACCCCCACTCCTCTCGTTCCTCAGCAAAGTGGACGCAAAATCCCCCAAATCAATTTGCATGCTCCCCAATTAAAGTCCCCCCTTCGTAGATCTTGCGTCTCTAGGTGTTCCTTTGCTCGGATCTGGCGTCGTCGGTAGGAGGTGGGGCACAAGAGGAGGCGGGGCGGATGGGAGAAGGCAGCCGTGAGTTGGGATGCGGAGGACAAGGCAGCAGAGGCGAGCAAGGGCGCCGACGCTGCCCGTTGCCGCGTGCCCGTCCGGCCACACACCCATGCCGACCCTGCTCCGCTCGCTGTTGCAGAATCAGCTGATGGTGCCGGCGGTGGAAGGGACGCGGAACGTGGTGCGGGCGGCCAAGGACGCTGGCGGAGTGCGGCGGGTGGTGGTCACCTTGTCCATCTCGGCCATGGTGCCCAGCCCCGGGTGGCCCTCCGGCGAGGTCCTCGACGAGCGTTGTTGGACCGACATCGACTACTGCGAGAAGAACGGGGTGAGCCTCGCCTACCTGCCAACTCCAGCTGCTTGGGTGCTTCCTTCTCAGTGAACTCATCTGAACTCTGAAAGGAAAACATTCTCAGTGAACATGAACAGTGAAAATGGTCTGCTAAATTCCTATGTGTGCTAAATTTTCGGAGACATGCATATATTAATGGATACACCAATACATCAAGTAGGTTCGGATTACATAAAAATTATACAAGTAACCTGGTACATTTAAACTACTACAAATTGACCTTCAAGGTTGACCCCCTCCAAAACGCTGATATATATGCTCAACTAAGTCCGCCTTCAGACGACGGTGCATATCTTTATTTCTAATATCTTCTTCTACCTCTAGAGCCCTGGAAAATCCATGAATTGGGCCATGTCCATATCCTGCCAGTGGTGTGGGTGAGCTGCCCTGGTCATACTGATTGTCATAGTCTTCATCGTAGCGAACTTTGTAAGAATCCCTTTCATCCTGCACAACCATGTTATGCAGTATAATGCATGCATACATGATTTCAGCCATTAATCGCACTTGCCACATACATGCTGGGCTTCGCGGAATGGCAAAATGAGCTTGCAAAACACCAAAAGCACGTTCCACATCTTTTCTTGCTCCCTCTTGTTTTTGTGCAAACAGTGCGTCCTTGTTACATTGAGGCAAATGAATTGTCTTCACAAAAGTTGCCCACTCTGGATAAATACCATCCGCAAGGTAGTATCCCATGTTGTATTCATTGCCATTGACCGTGAAATGAACTTCAGGAGCCCTTCCTTGTACTACTTCAGTGAACAAAGGTGATCGATTGAGGACATTGATGTCATTGTTTGACCCAGCTACACAAAAAAAACATGCCATATCCAAAGGTCGTGTGAGGCAACAGCCTCCAACATGACAGTAGGTCCATGCTGATCTCCACGGGTATACTGACCCTTCCATGCCACTGGACAGTTTCTCCATTGCCAATGCATGCAATCTACACTTCCCAGCATGCCTGGAAAACCTCGAGCTTCGCCTATATGCAATAAACGTTGGATATCTTCTCTAGTTGGTTTTCTCAAGTATGTAGGACCAAAGCACTCAATGACACCTCGACAAAAGTTATTCATGCACTCAATAGTTGTGCTTTCAGCAATCCTTAGATTTTCATCCCACATATCAGTAGGTGTGCCATATGCTAACATCCGCATAGCAACAGTGCATTTGTGCAAGGGTGAAAAGCCCACCTTTCCAAATGCATCACACCTTTCCGTGAAATAAGGAGACCAATTACTAAGAGTCTGTGCAATGTGTAGAAATAGCTGTCGCCTCATCCTATACCTACGTCGAAACTGGTTATCATTGAATACTAGATTCTCTATGAAGTAATCAGCCATCAATCTATCTCTAGTAGCACCACGATCTCTTTCTATGTGCCTTCTTTGAAACCTCCTATATTGAGTAGGCGTACCTCTAATTTGTGCCTCAATCTGACGTCTAATTTGTGCCTCAATCTAAGCCTCCATTGGATCATTTATGAAGTCCCAAAAGAACTGATTGATAGTAACACTACTATCAGAATCTTCAGGGATTTTTGTTGGGCCATTTGGATCCATGGACACCAATGGGGTGGAGAGTTTCAGCTAGCTAAAAGAGTGCCGGAGAGTTTCAGCTAGCTGCAAGAGTGTTGGAGAGTTTCTGCTGACTGAAAGAGTGTTGGAGGCTATCGATGTTTCACCACCGATAGCCTGCCACGGGGGTACCCGGGGCAGTTTGTTCGGGCTTCAGCGTATGCGGAACTCGACGGTAAACGCAAGAGACAGTCTATTTATCCTGGTTCGGGCCCTCGACTGTGATCAAGTAATAGCCCTACGTCTAGTCAGCGTTAGCCTTTATGTTGGATTGATTGTCCACTCCTGTCTCTAGGAACCCTGCCCTCATTTATATAGTTAGGAGGCCAGAGTCCTAGTCGGTTTACAATGAGAGTTCCTAGTAGGATTACAGAATAATACTACTACTAAGATTACATGAGAAGAATCCTAGTTAGACTAGATCTTCTCCCTTCCTTGCGGGGTATCCCATCGGTCCCGCACCGACAAGCCCCCGAGCACTTCATGGTTGAGCTCTAGAAGCCTCGTCTTGTCCCTTTAGGTCTTGCCGAGTAGGATCAAGCGTCGTCCGAGTGCTTTCTTGAGCGAAACCGTGTAGCGCTTCGTGAGATCTTCGGGTGGTGTGTACTTTTTTTGAAGAAAAAGTACTCCCATCTGGGTATAGCCCCTGAGCCTCTTGCTATTTGTAACAAGGAGCTGGAGGGTCTTGTCTTGAAATTGCTCTGATTCTTTGTCGAAAGGCTCCCGAGCATATACCCGGGTTCTTTATCAAAAAGAACTCGGATATAGCTCGGTCCGGGTTCTTTTTATCGTGAGGCCTTGAAGTGGTCTGTCTTGAAGAAGTCTTCTTGGTGACGTGCGCTTTTTTGAAGAAAAAAGTGCACTCATCGAAATGTAGCCCCAGCCTCTTGCTATTTGGAACAAGGAGTCGGAGGGTCTTGAATCTTATGTTGTTTGAAAAATCTTGTCTTGAAGAAGTCTTCGAGTGATGTGCGCTTTTTTGAAGAAAAAGTGCACTCACTGAGTGTAGCCCCCGAGCCTCTTGCTATTTGGAACAAAGAGTTGGAGGATCTTGAATCTGAGTTGTTCAAAGAACTGAAAACCTCTCCTGTTGCAGCCCCCGAGCATATATCTGGGTTTTTTTATTCAAAAAGAACTCGGATACAGGATCTTGGCATATTCTCTAGTAGTCTGCTGTTCTGGGTTGATCCTCCTCGTCTGCCCTGCGACTGTCCGGTGCAGATCAACACCTGATCCTGCATCACGTCGGGCTTGGGTAGACAGATGCCTGCAGGCCTCCCCCGGTCCATGTTGCCCTGTCGTGCTGCTGATTTCCGCCTTAGATGTACTACGTTCGTCCTTTGAAGAAAACATTGTAGCCGAGTGCGGTTTGTTCTACCGAGTAGCAATTTAGAACACGTAGTCGTTCCAGAGCCTAGTTGTGTCCGAGTTCCTTTTTGCTACTTTGCTTGTCATATTACCGAGTTCGTTGGGTCTTGTAAGATGTGTAATCTTGTATTTTTTGAAGCCATTTATGATGGAAAGAATATTGTCTTCTGAGTTGTCATTCTTTTTTCTGCTGATGTCCTGGTTGTTTATGAGATTCCCGAGTTCTTTCTATAAGAACCGGGTTCTTATGTTCCTTGTGAGGTAACCCTTCGTTGCTTCATGGTTGATGAGTTCTTTTTGTAGCAATATGATAACTCTGCCGTGGTGCTGGATGGATAAGTCTAAAATCTGCCTGTTGAACTGTACCTTTGTGTAGAAGTGTGTCGTCCGTCATTTTAGCTGTGTCAGTTGTGGTGAGAAATGGATCGTTGCGTTCTCATGCCGTGTTTAAACGGGTCTGGTGGGCTGTGTTTTTATTGCTGTAAAATATATTTAAAGGCCTTTCTTCTTTTTCTTTACTGCCCTGCTTTTGCCTTGAACCCCTAGTCTTCAAAACTCCGCTATCGCCATTGTCGCTGTCATCTGAGCGCCGTCGTTTGAGCATCATCGTTTTTTAGTGCTTTATTGCTTTCGCTAGTATATGGGAAGGAAGAAATCAGCGAGCAAGTCCCAAGCAACCTTTGTAGATGAGGAGGCATCGCTTTCTGTGATTGAAAATCAAGAATTCATGACCATAAGGGCTGCTCAGAAGATCTGGCCAGCTCCGACTACAACTGAGGATCAGTTGCGCGAGCTTGTTAGTGATGGTCTGATCCAGGGCAAGGAGTTTGCTGATTGGAAAGCTCCAGGCCAGCATCGGGTCCCAACTCCAGGTCCTGGTGAGAATGTTCTTTTTGTCTCCTTTATCCGTGCTGGACTCTGCCTTCCTGCTTCTGCTTTTCTTCATCGATTTCTCAGTTATTTTGGGATTAGCTTGAACCATCTTGCTCCCAATGCTGTCCTTCATCTTTCTGTTTTTGTTCATCTTTGTGAAACTTTTCTTGGAATTCCTCCTTCTCTTTCTCTCTTTCGTTACTTCTTCCGTCTGAAGCCCCATCCCCGCAGCGATGACACTCATGTTCTTGGTGGCTGTGGGATTCAGTTTCGTCAGGGTCATAAGAGTAAATTCTTTGATTATGACTTGGTTGATTCTGTGAGGGATTGGCGTGCCGACTGGTTTTATGCCGCCAATATGATTCCTCCTCTTGCTGTTCATTCTGGTTCTGGTCCCGTGGTTAATGATCGATGGGAAAAGAATCCCCTGACGATGGATGAGCTCCAGGCGATCAAGCCGTTTCTTGAGAGGATATGTACTCTGAAACAACAAGGCTTGACCGGCTTCGGGATCGTTTCCAGTTTTCTTCGCCGCTGTGTTCAACATCTGAAGGAGCGAGAGAATTATGGTTTTGAGTACTCTAGGGCGGAGGACCCTTCTCGTATGGTCCCTGCCCTTGAGTTGACTGATGAGGAGGTGCTCGAGCGCCTTCAGAAGATGTTGAAAGGAGTAAGCATCGTCCCACATGCTGTCCCTGAGTATTGTGCTAACGACCCGCCTCCTGCTGTGAGTTGTTTTTTCTTATGCGGTTAATTTTTGTATTTCCTTTGCTGTCTCCACTTTTTGCTTAATCTTTCTCGTCTAGTTGTTTTACTCTTTTATAGGAATTGGGGCGTAACTTCGTTGATCCGATCCCCTTGATGACCGCCCTGCCATGGTGGAGACTGGGGAGAGTCTTGCTGGGGCATCTTTAACTAGTAAGTTTCAAACCACCACGATGTTTCCTGGTGTTTCTTCCTCAATCCTTGACGCATATGTAGAGTATGTTCCTCGTCCAGTTCCTCGAGCTCCTCGTAGTGTCAAAAAAAGGGAGCGAGCAGATTGTTCTTCTTCTGGTTTGTCTGCTACCAAGAAGCCTCACCAGTCGAGTACTCGTCTAGGTACTCAAGTTATAGGTAGCATGCTCCTAGGTGAGCATATTAATGCGCTTTGTCTTTTTGTTGTTTGTTTGTGCCTTTAACCGAGTACTTTTCTCCTTTTTCAGA